ATTGAATATTCAAGGGTGTGACTTTAAGATTGATTTGTGGGTAATTGAATTGAGGAGTTTGGGAGTCATTCTGGGATAATGTGGTTGAGTTCTTTGGGAAGGGTAATTCACGATTACAGTGAGATTTCTATGGAGTTTAATTGGAATGGGAAGAGGGTCTTACTATGTGGTCAAGGAAGCAGGGAGGTGATGTTGCAACTTATGGGTAAATGTCTGTCCTTAGCAGTGGAGGATGCAGCATTGGTGGAGTCAAGGACCCTGTTGCCTGAGTTAGCAGCTTTGAAAGAAAAAATTCCTTTAGAAGTGTGGAATGTTTTGGTACACCATCAATCAGTTTTTCAATTACCACAAGGCTTACCTTTTTTGAGAGATTGTGATCATGCCATCCATCTAACTCCAGGCTCTAAACCAGTGAATGTGAAGCCATACAGGTACGGCCACAATCAAAAAGCAGAGATTGAAAGGCAGATGGCTGAATTGTTACAATCTGGCTTAATTAAAATAAGGCATATTCCATTTTCCTCACCTGTTTTGTTAGTCAAAAAATAGGATAATTCTTGGAGAATGTGCATAGACTATCGGGCTTTGAATTCTATCACTGTTAAGGATCGTTTTCCAATCCCGACAATTGATGAACTCCTTGATGAGTTAAAGGATGCTGTTGTGTTCTCAAAGCTGGATTTGAGGAGTGGATACCATCAAATAAGTCTGATTCCGGGGATACTCCTAAAACAACTTTCTGCACTCATGATGGCCACTATGAGTTCATGGTGATGCCGTTTGGCTTGACCAACGCTCCTTCTACCTTCCAATCTGCCATGAATCAAATGTTTCGACCTTATTTGAGAAGGTTCATTATAATTTTTTTTATGACATCTTAATATACAGTGGGTCATTCTTACAACATCCGGATCATATTCGGTTGACATTGGCTTGTTTACAGCAAAATCATTTCATGGTCAAGCTTAGCAAGTGTGGCTTTGCATTATCAAAAATAAACTATTTGGGGCACTTGGTTTCTGGAGAAGGAGTTAAGGCTAACCCAAGGAAGATAGAAGCAATGATGCAATGGCCTCAACCCAAGAACATTAAGCAATTGAGAGGGTTCATAAGTCTCACTAGTTACTATAGACGTTTTATTAGCCAATATGCTTCTCTGGCAGCTCCTCTTACTAACCTCTTGAAGACTTATGCGTTTGTATGGAGTGCTGATGCAGAGAAAGCCTTTTCATTGTTGAAAGAAACAATGTCCTCCACACCAATTTTATCCTTACAGGATTGTTTCTCACCCTTTATTACTGAAACAGATGCATCTTCATTTGGTATTGGTGCTGTGTTGTTGCAAAAAAATAAAACTATAGCTTTTTTCAGCAAGAAGTTGGGCCCTAGAATGAGAGCTGCTTCAACATATGTCAAGGAGCTTCTTGCTGTAACTGAGGCTGTTAAAAAATGGCGCCAGTATTTGTTGGGTTTTAGATTTATCAGTAGAACTGATCATAGAAGTCTAAAAGAGCTCCTTTCTCAAACTATCCAAACATTGGAGTAGCAAAAGTATGCCTACAAGCTGATGGGGTATGACTTCTCCATTGAATACAAATCAGGTATAATTAATATTGTGGCTGATTCTTTGTCTAGAAGAGATGAGGAAGATAATCCTGGTAAGTGCATATCCCTTGTTTCAGAAATTTCATTTAAAATTGTTGATCATATTAAGAAGGAGAACAATACAGATCCTGGATTGTTACTTATTCATTCGAATTGGAAAAAGGTGAATGCTCTGACTTGTGTATCTCTGTGAGGAATGGAATTTTATTCCAAAAAAATCATTTTTTCCTTAGCTCAAATTCTCAATTGCGGCAAGAATTACTGACTGAGGCTCATGCTACTCTATTGGGGGGCCATGCTGTTGACACGCACTCTTCTTCGTTTATCAGCCTCATTTTACTGGCCACAAATGAGGAGAGATATTACTCGGTTTATCTAAGAATGCTCTACCTGCCAAATTGTTAAGACAGCTACAACTCCTCCATTTGGGTTATTGCAGCCTTTGCCAACTCCAAATGGAGTCTTTGAAGACCTTAGTCTGGATTTTATAACTGGACTACCACTTTCCCGTGGCTTTTCTGTAATATTTGTAGTGGTAGATCGACTCACAAAATATGCATATTTTGGTGCATTAGCAAACTCGTATACAACAGCAAAGGTGGCATCATTGTTTGTGATATGGTGGTGAAACTTCATAGGTACCCAAAAACCATAGTCTCTGATAGGGACAGTGTGTTCCTGAGTCAGTTTTGGACTTTATTGTTTAAATTTAATGGAACAAAGCTGCATATAAGCACCGCATATCATCCTCAATCTTATGGACAATCGGAAGTTACAAATAGATATTTGGAACAATATCTCTGAGCTTTTTGTTCTGATGAGAATCACAAGTGGTCATTCTATTTGGGTTGGGCTGAATTGCATTATAATACAGCCCATCATTCTTCTATTGGCATGAGTCCCTTCCAAACATTATATGCAATAGCGGACCTACTTTTTTTTTAATGTCTGCACACTTAGAATAAAAGAATAAAGGAAAATTTTTTAAAGAAAATTTTAAATATATTAAAATACAAAAGAATATAAACAAAAAAGAAGAAAACTTTAACGTAATATAAAAAAGTAATCATGAGTCAATTAAACTGTTAAAATAGAACATTTTGGGTCCTCAACAAAAATTACATGCCTCAATTTAATCTCTTAGGAAAAAAAGTCTACTCGTGATCCCTCAGAATTCAAAAATAGACTCAGAAAATCAAAATTATGGTCTTTGAAATTCAAAAAGACCCACATCAATCCCTCAAAAGGACTAACATGGGTCTATTTTTGAATTTAAAGGGATCACAAGTCGACTTTTTAAAGAGATTAAATTGGGTCCTGTAATTTTTGTTGATGACTAAAATATATTTTATATATTTTATTCTCTTTTTTTCAAAAAATTTATGTGTTCACTTGCACACACTTGAACTCACATAGGTCCGCCACTGATTATATGGGAAGCTGCCAACAATGATTCTTTATTATCACCAGGGCTTGGTTAGAGTGGAAGCAGTGGATTAAACCTTAACTCATCGCAATGAATCATTGGCATAGTTTAAGAATCATTTGCAAGGAGCCCAAAATAGGATGAAGATGCAAGAAGATAAACACAAGAAGGACATCTCTTTTGCTGTGGGAGATTTAGTCCTAGTGAAACTTCAGCCCTACAGGCAGATTATAGTGGCAAAGAGGCAGAATCAAAAACTGGCAAAAGGTATTTTGGTCCCTTCCCTTTTACCAGAATTTTGAGCCCAATTGCTTACCAATTGCAGCTGCTAAATGGAGTAAAATACATCCCTCTTTCCGTGTATCAGTTTTGAAACCATTTAGGGGTGATCACCCTGATTTGGTTCCAACCTTACCTGCACTAAATCACGGCAATTGTCCTGTTCAAGAGCCCGTGGCTATTCTCATGTCTCGTAATGTTTCAGGCAAAAGTACACCTTGTACTCAATGGTTGATCCTGTGGTCTCATGCTTTACCAGAGGATGCCACTTGGGAGGATGAGGTTGACCTTAAATTGTATTACCCTCAATTGAACCTTGAGGACAAGGTTGCTTTGCAAGATGGGGGCAATGTTACAAAGAAGAGAAGTGGAGCTCCAAGCTGGGTAAAGGACTTTGTTATTAATATTCATTAGGAACATAATTGATAGAGATAATACAATTCTATATAAGTGGTTACAGTGAATGTATTAGAAGAGGAGTAGAAGGTTAATGGACTGATATAGTAGTTACCGATATAGCCATTGTAAACATTGACGTGGCATGGGTTAGGACATTAATAGCTTACTGTCATTGTAATAAGGAACACCGACCAAAATGTCACTGTTCACCAATTTTTTTACCTAAATGCCACGCGAACAGTGTTATTTTCCAATCTACCACGGGGTCAAGTTCGCTACCCGGTGTAGCGAACTCGGTTTGCTGACATGTCACATTTCTAGTGGATAACAAGTAACAAGTTAAAAAAAAAAGTATGAAGTTCGCTACATTGAGTAGCGACCCGTGTAGCGAACTTGGTGTCCACTAGAAACGTGACACGTCAGCAAATCGAGTTCGTTATACCGGCTAGCGAACTTGCCCCCTGGCAGATTGGAAAATAACATTGTTCGCGTGGCATTTAGATAAAAAACTTGGTAAATAGTAACATTTTAGTCATTATTCCTTGTAATAAAAGGACAACTGTTGTAATTGATACGATTCATTCACCAAAATAAAAGAATAAAAGTTTTCTTTGTTCCTCGTTCCGTTTCTCTTCCTCTGTTAAGGGTACAAACCCTTATCAAGAACCATTGTGATTAAAAATGAATAATTGTCTTGGCTCATAGTTAATCTTATAACCGAATCAAAAAATTAAAGTTTTGTGAAAATAATGGAAGGGATTCGTCTCAAAGAACTCGTTATAATTTGTATAAAAAGAAAAGTGAATAATTGTCACGTGTCTCGCAAAAAAAATATTTCTTTATCACATTTTTCACGGTATCCCAAGTTTGAACCCGACACTAATACTTAAGCTAATTATAGTTTATAAGAAACGTGTATCCAAAGTCATTGGCGGCTAGCCGGCTACCCACCAGATTTGATGTTAACGACTATTCATGCGTAATCCAAACATAGTTGTCTTTTTCCCTCCAACTTGCTAGAGAGAAAGAAACTGGGAAAGCTTACTTTAGTGAGAGAAAAAATTAATACAATAAAATTTTAATTAATTAATTATTATTGTTTATTTGGGTATATATATATATATATTTGGATAATTAGTTGTATCACAGAATCTGATAAGTAGAAATGTGTTTTGACATCCACAAAAATCCGAGTTCAACCTTAGCCGCCCATTGTTTTTTGTTGCGCAAGTAACTTAATTTTATTTTCCCATTCATTGCCCATCAGATGTTTGCTAAATTGTCTCAAAGACAAACTACAACAAAGCTGGAAATTCTTTGTATAGAGGGCATAATTGAGGTGCGGTGAAGAATTTGTTGGAGTGAGGAGGTGGGGGAGAGGACCTACCCACCACCCTTCAACATTCATCACCAATCCCTTTTGAATCTACCACAGGTTTATTCTATGCACAAATTATTCCCATAACAAGATTTATCATTCACTTACGCAGGAGATTTTGAGATTCTTGATATATGGGTCTTTGCATCTAGACTTATCTTCATCTTTTTTTTTTTCCTTTTTTTTTCTTCCTTTCTTGTCTTGCCAATCCAATTTTCAAGGTGTCAGAAAACCTGATTTCAGATCTTGGTGCCCCACCTCCATTAGCTTCCTGGACTCCCTCATAGGACCCATTATTACAAATTCAATCTTTCATTCAATAACAGCTGTTTACTTTGTCTGTACCTGGTTTGTGTTCCTTTTGATTGTAGGAGGCCAATGAGAGGGAGGAAACTGTTCCAAAGGTTCATCTTTTCTTTGTTACACATAATATTAATAATTTAACTGTGGTTCAAGCCGTCAAGTCAAGGCAATTTCCATACAAGTTCGTTGGTGTGGTTGCCTACCTTATTTATTCTGTTCAATCTTCGGTGTGAGGAGGCCCACCATTGGGTTTTTGGTGGGCTTTCTTTGAGCCAATAAAAACTCCATCTTTAAAAGGTGTTTGAAGATTCCAAATTTGCTTCCATTTGGATTAAATAGTGAGGTTTCATTTGGGGTTTTCATCTTATAAGCTATTGCCTTTCCACAATTGGTTACGCTATATGCCAAACTCAAATTTGACCCGTAAAATATTTCCCATATTCTAATGCTACTTTACTTCATTACTTGCCTCTCCTTCTTCCTGTTTTTGAAGTCTCTCCTCCTCAAACCACTTCCATCATGGGCAACTGAGATGAGGTTGCTTTCCCTTTTGTTTCGACAAGAGTTGTCTGTTAAAACAATCTCCAAGTTGTTTGGGAATCGCCTTTGGCTTGGTTTTCTTTGTCAAATTCCTGCAAGAATGTCTCTTGTGAGGAAGAGTCTGACTTCAAGAGTAGAGAACGTTGAAGAGAGCCAGGATTTAACAGTGTTGGACTTGCCTGAGCTTGCTTTGGAATGCATTCTTGAAAGGTTACCACCCTCTTCGCTATGTCAAATGGCTGGCGTTTGCCGTTCCTTGAGGGAAAGGTGTGTGAGTGATCACCTTTGGGAGAGGCACTTGAAGCAGAAATGGGGTAGAGTTATTAGTCCAGCTGCTTACAGGGAGTGGAAATGGCATATTGCTTCTAAAAGGAATTTTGGGGGTCTTAAACTTGGCAAGCAAAGGGGCTTGATGAGATTTGTCTCTCTTCGTTGGCCTTTTCCATGGATGAGATTAAAGGTTGATGCTAATAATAGCAGCAAGCAGAGGAGTTCTTTGCCTGTTGATTCGGTCATTAACTGGTATCTTGCTCTTGAGACTGGCAACTTCTGGTTCCCTGCTCAGGTCTATAACCGTGAGGTATATATGAACTCTTTTGTGCTTTTCTATTGAAAAATTATATCTACCATAATACCCACAAAAATTAAACCATTCAATGGAATTCAGTGGATTGCGTTTTCTCACCAGTTACATTTTTTGTTGTTGGTGTAGAATGGTCATGTTGGATTCATGTTATCTTGCTATGATGCTGAGCTTAGCTATGATCCACAAACCGATACCTTCCAAGCCAGGTAATTAAATTGGACATGATTCTAGGTGATCATATACTTATTGTGTCAAGTCATAGAGTCTATCTGTATTTATGTTCACATTGGTTATAGATTTGATTAACAAGTTTGAAGAGATTTTAAGGAAAATAAAATGAAAATCGGATCTCTTGTTCTAATTATTTATTAGTTGCCTATTACAGGTATCCTCCTCATGGAAGAAGAGCAGATGCTAGAGAGTGTGGCATCCCATGGGAAAGGCTAAGAGCACCGCCTGTTGATACTTCTCCCCATGATCTTCACATCTCTGATTGTTTAAATGATTTGCATCCGGGTGATCACATAGAGATTCAGTGGAGAAGAAACAAAGAATTTCCTTATGGTTTGTTCCTTTGTTCAAAATCTTGTTCTAATTCTACTTTTTTTCTTTCTTTCTATTTTTACATTAATTCTACTAATTACAATCTTGATTACGGATTTCCATTTTACCCTTGTGAAAAGATTCTGATACTTGATACCCTTGTGAAAAGATTCTGATACTTGAAAATCCATTTTTCTATAAAATCAATATTCTTCTACACGTAATCTCTTCTTGATTAATAAAAGAGGCTTTGTAGACTTCAAATTAGTAGTAAATGATTGGAATTATATTAACCTGAAACGAATTGCTGCTTGACGAGATGCACCTTTATGGCAGGTTGGTGGTATGGTTTTGTAGGCCACTTGGAATCATGTGATGGGAATGAAAATTATTGCCGTTGTCATAGTAGTGGTGAGTTAATATCATTTTCCTTTTGGATGATTGTTATTATCATTTATTACTTTTTCTTGGTTATATAGTTTATATCATTCATTTAATCAATTTTTTTCCACCCTTCTAGTATAATAGAATTATATTATGGGTGTGATTGTCTAGTGGATCAATGAAAGGATAATATGAGTTTGTGATTTGTTGAAAAAATGGTTGTGGGATTCAGATGAATCCTGTTTTTTTTTTTGAATAACTGAATCCTGTTTTCTTTGATACACTGAATATAGTGTATAAAAAATGGTGGCCAAAGAACGATAATGATTAGAAATGTGGAAGACAGAAAAATTGAGTGAAGGTTAAAGTTTGCTGTTTTATTGATTTAATTAGTTTTAGAATCAACCATTTTTATTATTATTATTTTTTGTATTGTGGAGTTTATAAAGCGAAAAAATTGATATGAATGTAAAGTTTACTTTAACAGACCAGACCAGACCACAAGTTTGGCTAGGTCTTTGTCCGGATTATAATATATCTAAACTGGACCACCTGCTATGCTATTTGGTTGGTTCCGAAGACATTCATGGCCAGTATGTCATCATTTCCACCAACACATTGATAAGTTGTGTCTTAGTGGATACATTTATGGCCAACTATGCTGAAGAATTCAATTTCTTTTGTAGGCTCTATTTCAATTTTAGTAGGAAACTTTTTGCAATGTGTGATTTATTTATTATAAGCGTCCAAACAGAATGACCCACTACCTCCTATGGTACCTCGTGTGACATTTTATTTAACATTCTCTTCACCGCAATAACAACCACCACAAAAGTAGGAATAATAATGAAAAATAGTTTTGAAACTTCTGCCACTTGACCTGGCAGAGGGAAGGTGTTTATAAAATATTGGGTTAGTTTCCTTTTGTTGAGAAGGGTAATTTTGTTTGCTATGAACCTTTTGAGGAATGAAATTTAACAAACTTATTCTCTTACATAAAATTCAGTTATGTATTTGTCTTTCACATGTTGTCTATATCTCATTCTTAGATGAATATTCTAAAGGCTGCCAACATGAAAACTGGCAGCACTACTAAAATGGTGAAGGACTACCCACTTTCCACAACTTCATTAGTGGTGGCATTAGCCTTGTTATATTTATATCCAATCCCTGAAAAGTGTTTGTTAATATTCAAACATAGTTTATTTGATGCTAAATGTGTTGGTTGCAGACACAGTGGTGCTAGAATTCAACCATTACACTCCGGGCTCACGATGGAGACAGACCAATGTCAGTAGAAAAGACCATAGGGAGGAGGGAAATGAGGCTGATGGCTTTTATGGGGGAATAAGAAAGATAACGAGTGAGGCTGAGATTTCCATTTGGAAACGCCTTTGGCCATCTGAAGTCTTGGACTAGTAGACACTGGATTTGATCAGATACTCCATTTAGCATGATTTCAAGATAGAAGCTTTGTTTTATCAACTGAAGCATTGTCAAGTTCTGCATTATATGGAAATATACAACTTGAAGTGGACTCTAGATATTTAGGCCAATCCGATTTTCTTTTCCACCCTTTAATTATCTCATTTTTTCATGAGAAAATATATGCATATTCAGTGGTTTCCCTCAATGTAAATTACTCCTCGTTTACACGCACAAATGATGTAGAATATTCATTCCACTATCTATAGAATCCAGCTGATAAACTCATTAGTTTTGAACTCACACAGCAATACAGCTTCCATCCAAATGAACGAAGATGTAGTTCAGGCATAATTTATGATCAAACAGTTCATTAGCAATATGCATAAAGGATGCTCATTCTCTTTGGCCACTGAATTTTCCTTCTGCTGTGATTTATGATTCAGGTATATATCCGCAGTGTCATTAATATTAGCCATTTTCTGTGTCGGGTAATCTTAGCCATATTAGCTTTGTGGGCTATTGTTTTAAAAAAGTTTTTAAGCAGACAAACAATGGCCTACAAAGTTCATGTGGCTAACATTAAATAGATGCAATGTTTTACTGTCTGAGTACCTAAAAACCTCTCATCTGGGTATAGTCATATTCAGTATACCATTCACTGATTTGTTTTCCCATTCATTTTAAAAACTACATGTAAGAATTCTCCTTAGGTCCAAGAGAGAAGATTGTTAGGGAAATTGATCTTCCAATGCATATTTCAAAAGAAAGGTACATACTCCATCAAATAAATTTCTGAACACAATGCTATAACAGGCTTACGAGCGGAAAGGATAAATCTCTTAATTAAAGAAAGAAAGAAAGAAAGAAAGTAGAGACAGGAATACTCTGAATGAATCTAAATAACTTAAATCTGCGTGACTTGGTTAACTAATTCTATGAGGACATCGTGGCTCAATAACTTCACATAGCTTCCCCTATAACCGAAGCAGAGAAAGAGTCTTGGCTTGTGACATGCCAAAGTCATTTTGGTCACTTCACATGCATCGTTGCCCCAGGTTTAAGGCCAAGTTTCCTCAAGAAGGCTGGCTTCACCAATGCTTCTAACTTGTGCTTAGCACTGACCTTACCAATGCGCGCACACCGGAGGAGAAACTTCATTATCTGATCTCTCTTCATTTTCCTTGCACAAAACCCACCTCTTCCAAGCTCATGCTGGGTAAGCAACGTACCTTTGGGCTCAAAGGGCTCATCATTGCCCACTCTCATCTGTTTTGGAAACACCAACCATTTGGGTTCAGATAGCAGCATATTTATGCTCCTTGGTGCTTTCTTCAATGGTTCTCTCTTCAATGGTGCCTCTACCGCTTCATCTAGCTTTGGTTCAAGGCCATGTTTTCCCTTTGGCTTTTTTTTTTTTTTTCTTCTTTGACCTTCTCCAAAGCTACCATGAATGGATCAAAATCATCATTCCACAAACTATGACTTGAAAATGGGAGCCTAAACACCAATCCTTGGGACCTTGCTGATGATGCAGTTGAGCTTTGGGTGCTCATTTTGTTGCCATTTTCATTGCAAAGAAGCATTGGAGGAAGTTTGAGGGGTGTTACCAGTGGCAGGACTTTACCATCACAAAATAGCTCATCAGCAAATGCCATATTGGGCAATGGATCCCCATTATGCCTTTGAAACCTTTGGCTTTGCTCTTGCATGTGACCAAATGAGTTAATCATCTGTTTGGCTTGTCTCAACGTTGAAACCACCAAGATTGAAATGTTGACTGGTTTCAAATTCAAACTCATCTAGATTGGAACTTGCATACTCATATGAGCTTGGAGTTATGGGCTGTGTCTCAAAACCAGATAGTGCACTTAATTTGAATCTGTTTGGATTAGTTGGTGCACTATAGAAGCACATCTCATAACTGCAGCTGTTTGCACTAGTGGGTGAACTAGTGTAGGAAAATCCATCAGAAAAAGAAATGTCCATTTGATTTGACCAAAAAACCTTGAGCTACACAAGGCAATGATAGACGGAACAGCAAAGTTTTATAGAAGTCAATGATAGGAAAGCTTGGAAAAGAGCTTTATTGTTGAGCTTGTTTTGCTCCTGAAATGAAGGGAAATTTGGATTTGTATGTATATATATATATATAAGGAGCCATGTTGTCCTCCAAAGCAATATTCAAAGCTCGACTGAAATTAAATAAATCACTCTTCTAAGAGTTGTCCTTTTGTGTTATGTCCCTTTCCATGTTGAATATACTATTGATGCATTTCATAACTGTGAAGTAAGTTGTTGTCTATGCCAAGCAAGTTATTTAATGATGCTTTTCCTGATTTTCATGACCCTCTTTTTGTCTCTTTTGTGATTTCTCTATAACAAATTTGAATTAAGAACCAAGCATTTTATTTATCTTTTGATGCTCTTCTTTGTGGTTTTCTCAGAATATATGCCAAATAATCACAATCATAATTGAGTAATCAAGCATCCAAGCATGATATCTTAGTCACGGAGAAAACTCCCTAATAGAATGGTTTGGTCTAGCAATTAAATACTTAATGTGTATTTGGTCATCGTGTCACATCGGTCAAGTTCAAGCCTATGTTATAACCATTTTGCCACATAGCACTTGAAGAAATGAATGTACTCGTGCTATCACCTTTTGACTCGAGTCTTTACTTTGTAACACCCCGTTTTAGAACCGGTTTGTTAACATTGTTTTATGATATTAAGCATATTTACAATCACATTGGTTCAATTAAGAATACGGATAAATTTTTACTTGAAAAACGTTGCTCATTTCCTTTATTTACAATATCGTAATTTAATCTACCAATTTCGTGATTATAACCGTGTGAAGATGCTGAACAACTAAAATTATGCTTAACATCATTTACTATATTTATTAGACTTAATTAGAGGGTCCCTATTACTTATTTCAAGTGATAATAGCTTTTTCTTAAAATTGGGGTTGGGGGCTTAAGCTCTCATTTTGGGTGCTTAAGCCCCCTCGGGCAGAGGATTTTTCATTTTTTTGTTCGAAGAGAGGGCTTAAGCCCCTATATTGGGCGCTTAAGCCCCCTACGCGCGCTTAAGCCCCCAATTTGGGGATTAAATCTATATTTTCATGTATTTCTCTTGAGGGATTAAATCCCACACACCTTATGACCTAATTGACAATCTTACAACATCATTGTTTCAATAGTTACATCTTCTACACCATTTCATTGCACAAATCAAAATAAAAAAACATAACATCATATTCCATTAATATATCAATATCCCTATTACATCCATGTTCTTCAAAATAAATACATGCCAAAGGACTTAGTTATCAAAAGACATTATAAAAGCTATTAGCCATATTCCACAATGCAATTACTACAACAACGATCTTGGACTAAGTCCTCCATACTACATCACATGGCCTCAAAATATACATGTACAAGGGGTGATATAAATGGCAAATGCATGTAACAATCCTAAATGACATGCAATCCAAAACATCAAGCTATCAACATATGGCATCTAATTCAAGTACGACCACTTGTCACCAGAGGCTACTACAACATTTGTACCTGAAAGAGGGTCCCATAATATGGTGTGAGATATACGAATATATCACAGTAAACCAGGGGTCCCTGGAGCATCTCTCCACCCCATAGTTCACTCACAGTACAATAGCAATAATAGTAAATAATACGGTAAATACATATCCATGCAGTGTGTAAAAACATCTCCATGAGACATCCCCCGAGCTCTCATGTTGTCCTAAGAATACTCAGATGAAAATAGTCCTATTGATCAGAGAATCTACCAAGTATGAATTATGCATTGTCATGCAACATACAAACATAGGAAAACACCATCCTATGCCACACTCAGTGCATACACATACGTATAACAAATGGTGGCCTAAGAATACCCAGTGCATACACATCGTCAGCATTAAATTACATTATTGCATTTACATACACTATCAACAACCACTACTCATTCAGGGCTTGGTGGAACAATTAAGGGATCAATTCCCAAGGTCCGAAGGCTTACCTCAATATGCTTCCAACTCAACCTTTCTTCACTAATAAGTTTTAAACCAATCAAACTTTGAATTCAAGCTACAATCTTGCAAAATACACACCTACACAAAGGTGCCACACTATCAATCAACACAAGTTAATGAATATCAACATACTCATCAACAATACCACAATTCCACACCACAACTTGGGATGAACTTACCTATCCAAATGAGCTAATCAAGCTCCATAGCTTGCTCCAATGGGTGGTCACTCAAAGTTGGTCCATTTCTCCAATGGGTACTTATCTAACAATCACAGGGACACAATCAATCACCAAACAAACCATGGCTTATAATGCAAGAAAATACACATTTTCAAGCATAATCTTCAAGATTTTGGAAGTGATGACAATCTAAGTTTATTTCCACTGTTTATTTATCATCTCTAATAACCTTTACAAAAGATTTAAGCTTAAATCAAACTCAAACTCATATAACCCACAAACACTATTAAACATCTTGCTCCATCTTACAATCTCTATTAAACTAAGTTTAAGTAGTGGAAACTTACCACAAGTGGTTGCTCAACCAAGGAATGATTGCTCCTAAAACTCCCAAGGAGTGAAATGCCCCCAATCCCCTCCAATCTTTAAGGGTTCAAATTCATGGGAGGAAGAAATCTCACACCACAATGCTCCCTACTCATAACCAATCTAGGATTAAGGATAAGAGGAAGATTCTAAATGGTTTAGGCTTCGGAATGGAAGGATTTGAGCAAGAAATGAAGGCGTTGTGATTTAGTGCTCCCACAATGGTCTCTCCCTCTCTCCCTCTCTGTTTGGCGTCGAAGAAGAAGAAGAAAATGTGAGGAAGGTGCTTTGTTTCACCACTTAACATGGTTAAGTTATTTCCACCGGGTAACAGCTTATCTATCTATTCACCTCCATTCACCACCAAACTTAACCAAAGGGTCTAGAATATTTTTCTAGTAATATTTCTAACTTTACTTTTACATTTTGGATAATTTTGCCTACACACATTTTTACCCCATAATTTTCACTGACTGCACTTTTCACCTCAAAGATAACCCTAATTAATTTAATTAGGTCTTTTACTTCTTTCAACCCACTAATACATGCTTAATTACTTAATTACATGTAATTTACTAACTAATCAGGTTAGGGCTATTATAGACTCCTTAATAGGCTTACATTACATACATATAAAATTAATGGTAATTCTTTTTAGAGTATGAATTGGATTACCACAGGCACTTGAAGAGACGTATATGGTATATTAATAAGAAAGGCAGAGACTATCTGATGTGCCTTC